AAGATCGACCTTTCTCAAGCTTACCATCAACTAGAGCTTACGCCAGAAAGCAGGAAATACACCACAATTAACACTCATTTGGGCTTATACCAATACAAGCGCCTGACTTTTGGAGTGAGTAGTGCTGTGTCAATCTTCCAACGCACTATAGAAAATGTCCTTAAGGACCTTCCAGGCTGCTGCGTCCGTATTGATGACATCCTTATTTCCGGAGAAACAGATGAAGTCCATCTGGAAAACCTTCATCGAGTACTAACTCGATTACAGGACTGCGGTCTTAAGCTTAACCCTGATAAATTCTTTTTCATGCTGGATAAAGTACAGTATCTTGGTACTACCATTTCTGCTGCGGGGATTTCACCGACTGCAGAGAAAGTGCAGGCAATAAAGGATGCAGCACCTCCAACAAATGTTTCTGAATTACAGTAATTCCTTGGATCAGACAATTTTCTACGTAAATTTGTGCCGGATTTTGCAAAGTTGGCTTCACCTTTGTTCGGATTACTTCGCAAGGAGGTACCATGGAGTTGGTCAAAACTGGAACAGGACGCTTTTGATAACATCAAGGCTGCTCTGTGCTCTGATTCGGTTTTACGTCACTATGATCCTATGGCTGAATTAGTTTTACAGTGTGATGCTTCTTCAGTGGGTGTGGGAGCTGCATTACTGCAACCTGGACCTGATGGTGCATTACAACATGTTGCCTATGCATCGAGGATAATGAACAATGCAGAACAAAATTACTCCCAAATTTAACGTGAGTCATTAGCAATTGTTTTTGGCGTGACCAAATATCGCCAGTACCTGTTAGGTGGACACTTCAAACTCCTAACAGATCATAAACCTTTGATTACTTTACTTGGGGAACACAAGCCCGTACCCCTGTTGGCAGCAGCAAGGATCAAGAGATGGGCATTACTTTTAGCTGCTTATGACTATACAATTGAATTCATAAGCGGCAAAGACAATGTGTTTGCAGATTTTTTGTCTAGGAAGCCTATTGAATACAAGCAGTCTGCTGCAGAACAGGTTACTGTAAATGCGATGTTTATCGAAGAAGACCAGTTTTTAAATGCGTCCGTGGTTGCTATGGAAACCATGAGAGATCCAGTTCTTGGAAAGGTGTTACAGTTTACTAAGCCGGGTTGGCCCAATAATCTGGAACCAGTGTTCCAACCCTGCTACAGAAAAAGGCTTGAACTCTCTTATGAAGATGGTATCCTCCTGTGGAACTCGCGAGTTGTTGTACCAGAGTCGTTACAGGCTCTCTTATTGGCCGATTTGCATGCAGAACACCTGGGTATGGTCAAAATGAAACAATTAGCTCGAAAATACTTTTGGTGGCCTGGACTTGATAAGCAAATTGAGGAGACAGTTAAATTATGTCCTGCTTGTCAAGAATCTGCTAAATCGCCAGCATCCGCCCCAACTGCTTCATGGTCCTGGCCATGCGGACCATGAAAACGATTACATGTCGATTTTGCTGGGCCTTATCTTGGCAAGATGTTTTTGGTCGTGGTGGATGCTTATTCCAAATTTTTGGAGATAGTACCCATGACTCATGCCACCAGCACCAACACTATTACTGCTTTGAGACACATTTTTAGTTACTTTGGTTTACCAGAACATCTGGTAACGGACAATGGGACTCAGTTTACGAGTGATGAATTCCAGAAATTTCTAAGAGAAAACGACATCCTTCATACTCTCACTGCTCCAGGACATCCTGCTACAAATGGGTTAGCAGAACGCTATGTGGGTGAATTTAAGGATAAACTGGGCAAAATTGGAGATACAGGCGAGTCTGTGCAAACAAAATTAGACAAGTTTTTGTTGACTTACAGGGCCACACCCACCACGTTAGGGAAATCACCCTCAGAATTACTTATGAACAGACAGCCTAGAATTAGATTCAGTGCACTGAGAGCCAAAAGTTCTAAACAGGAAGTTAAGGTTTTTCAAGACAACCTTGATAACAAACCCCAGTTTACACCAAACCAAGCAGTTTTTGTGTGTAATTTTGGCAAAGGAGCCAAATGGATTCCAGGAACCATTGTTGGAACAGTCAGTCCCGGGAATTTTGAGGTTCAGGTCAGAGACATTATCTGGAAACGACATCAAGAACAATTACGTCCACGATTCATACCTTCCACACTAGGGTCAGAGTTAGTTCGTGCGCCTCAGCTACCTGAGCAAACTGAAGGGTTGACCCCAGTAGTGCTGGAAAGGCCTGTTACAACACCAACCCTTTCACAGCCTAAAGAGGCTAGACCTGTACTTGACACTCCAGCCTTGGATAGAATGGCTGATTCTTTCTCTTCACCACAGGACTCATCTGTGCGAGATTCAGAACTTCAAGCATCAGCGCCTGAGGAACCAGAACGGAGATACCCTCTCAGAGAGCGTAAACCGCCTCAGAGGTTCTACTAGTCTTTAGCAAACTTAAGTGTTCGTGACTTTGGGACTTGTTCCTATCAGTACATTACTTTGTATTATTATCAGGTTCAGTTTTTCTTTCCTTTGCTTTAAGAGGGGGCATTGGTCATATCCCATGAATCCTTATACGCTTCGTACATGCGTAGTAGGTTCTTCTTGCCATGTGCTTACAGACTTGAAGTAAAAATTAATATTGTTGAGTTCTCTGCGTTTGTTATACAATTTCCTGCTACATTACAAACTACAAATTCCTGGTACATTACAACATGTCTACTTTATCAAACACTTATAGGGTAAATCCTCTATTAAGCTCCCCGGGAGGCTTATTTATTTCATTTGAAAACGGGGGGTGGGGGCTTATTTTATTTAGAAAAGATGATGGTATCAAGTCTCAGTAAAGAGCTAGAAAGTATAAAAGGTCAAGTACAAACCTTTGGAGGTCATGCAGCCAAGGATCAGGAACAAATGTGAACCTTCAATTGACTGGTGAATAAACCATCCTGGATCAGTCCACATGAAGTTTTACAGTCGTGATTGATTAATAACCCCTTATAGAGTCTATTATTCATTAGTAAAGGATTGTTAGGGATGGGGAGGCGGGGCTTAAAGGAGAGGAGGGCTTATTAACTTTCTTATTTTCCTGAAAAGGGGAGGGCTCATCAGAAAAAGGAGGCTTAATTTAGATGGGGGGCTTAATAGATTAATTTCAGGAGAAATCTAATTATTAGATACTGATCACACCCATCCGAAATGAAAAGAATGAAGGGATTGCTGCTTAACATCTTGAGGTAAAATCTACTTAGGAACTGGACACCAATACTATGTACCTTGTATTTCTTACAAATTCATGATCAAGAAGTTATTTTAAAAAGATGAAGATGTTGACACAATTTGGAAAGTTTGCTGTTTACTGGCTAATTTCGAGGGGCCTTGACTATAATACCAGTGGCAGTATCTTCCTATTTCCGTTGCATAATGTTCCCGTAATTTAACAAAGAGGTTCTATAAAAGACCCACACGCGATACATGGCCAGCGTTCAACAACTCGAAAAAAGCATTGCGTGTTCAAGACAAAACTCTTGAGGCCTCACTAGCCTCGCTTTCGGGTAACTAGACCCGGGCAGTCCGAGGGGCCCGCCATATTTGCATTCAGTCGGTGTATACGCGCGTAATCAAAATAGAGGTAATGTATGAAAGGTTGCCCGTAAACGTAAGTGTTAAAAGTCGCTCAACTTCTACATTTACGTGTGCCTTCCATACATTCGCTTCTATTTCATTTACGCGCGTGAGCACGTGGAAATTCAACCTTAATACGGACACCTCATTATTTTTCGCCACTTGCAAATCTCCCATGACGCACCTTATTTGCCACCTAAAATTTTGCATAAGCATTGTTTTCAGTTTCTTTTGGGAAGGCTATGCAATACCCAGGAGAAATGAAAAACGAAGGTTATGCAAAGTTTGGCGGTGGAGCGGGGGGGGAGAAATAAGGTGCATTATGGGAGATGTGCAAGTGGCGAATGTAAAGTTTGCTTTGCTCCTGGAAAAAAAAAAAAAGAAAGCCCTTACATTTTGAATAAATGAATGAAGAGTCTTGGATGAGAGGACAACAGACGTGCCCTCTTACAATATATTTTAACATGTGAACAGCAAGCTCGGACGTCAGCACATAAAGCGTCACTGGCAGCCGCTCTCAGTCATTTTATGGGGTTACTGTAACCACCCAGCCCATGATGTGAATGATGTGATGAGTGAAGGTTGACCACGACACCAGCGTCTACGTCCCCTACTCTTTTCTTATTGGTTCTTTTACGTTTCACAAGAACCAGATAAGTGTAAGCGCCGTCCTTATCCGAGAAGACTAGAAAGTCTAACCGTTTGCAGATGTCATTACAAAGGCAGAACTTTGCTTCTCAGTTATTTTAAGACCCTAAGTGTTAGTCCGGCCGCTGTTCGAACCCGTGACCTCCCGCTCAGCAAACCGGCGCTCTCCTTGAACTGAACCAACCAAATTTAACTTGCTTCAGATACGGACACTCCGTGAATACGGACACATACCCCCCTCAGTATCCGTATTAACGGTGTTTGACTGAGCTGCACTAGAATTCATTTCGTTTTTGCTTAGTTTCTTATCTGACCATCCCGCTGAGGAATAAAAAACAATAACCTAATTTGCACTAAAAGTTAACTAACTGGCCATTGGTTCCACTCCCAGGCAAATTCTTCAAAGCAACCAGCATATGCCATATTTGGAAGATGTAGGCCCATAACCTATCGAGTCGATCGTATATTGCTAGTTAGCCTGTAGACCAACAATTTCTCCCTTTTTTTCAGAATCAAACGGCTTTTCAAAATCTACGAAGAGAAGAACTGCTGTTAAATCCAACCAGTCCTCTTAATAGATTATCTGGAGAACTCAGTGATGACCTGCCTGATAGAAACAAGCAACCTCGTTATAAAACGAACGTTCTCCTTAACCAGCAAAGGCTATCAAATACAAAAACACTAACTAAAAGCAGTTTATTGGCAATGTAAATTTATGACAGATTTGAGCGTAAAAGACAGTCTCTTTCATACAAAAACACTTAAACTAAAAGCTGTTTATTGACAATATAAATCGATGTTGATTTGAAACTATATAGACAGTCATTTTAAAACAAGTACAAGCAAATCAAAGCAGCCTAGCCGAAGTAATAGAATACACTCAAATTCCGAGACATGCTGGCCAAGCTGTGTTTAAATGCAATATTTTAACGTTGATTCTAAAATTTGAACAGTGATACTGTTGAACAGTAAAACTCGAAAACTATGACTATTTTTCAGGTACAATTTTTTCTCAAAGAAAAAAAGCTATTGTGGCATTACTGAGAATAATTTAATCACATACCCTGGTCTGTAATTTGTGATTGCGTTGTAATTCGTTACTTTGCAGATCAAAATATTCTAATATAACTAATTACACGTTCACAACTTTTCATTAACAAAACTTAAGAAAGGTTTTTGTCTAGCTAAAATCAGCTCAGCATAGATGCAAAAATTAGCTTGTTTAACTAAAAAAGATTGAAGTGAGGACAAGGATTAAAACTTTTTCATCCTGTCAGCATTCTACTTCGTCTTGGTACGGATCCGACAGGTAGAGTGGATTATCCATAGAGATTGCTCCAGGCTTGTTAGTCTATAACAAACCGAAACGAGAGAAAACAATTTAACCTGCCGCTCTCTAAAAGATGAATCTGATTCAACACATCAACTCCCAGTAAAACTTTTATCCTTATCATTGTTCTAGGCGTATAAAGAAGATATACTCAAAAATCGAAAAATACAAATGGTTATATTTCAAAGATTACACTAGCGTTGCTCATGTGACCGCTTACCATTATTCTAAAGTTGTCATCTGTTGCGAACATATTCGTGTCCACATCACTCATGAAGAACTGTTAGCAAAGGAAAGTAGTGTTAGGAACAAACTTAAGAAATCAATAACACATCAACTTTTCTAGGGCCAGCGTCTATAGCGTAAAGTAAAAAAAAAAAAACAAAAAAAAACCAAAATGAGTCATAAAAAAAACTTTACTAAAAATTTTTTATTTTAATTCAATTTTACCGCCCAATAAAAAAAACCCAACTAAAAATAACACAAACAAAAAAAAAAAAAAATTTTGTAAAAAAAATAAAAAACACCCAAAAAAAAAAAAAAACCCAAAAACAAAAAAAAAAGATTAACAAAAAAAAGAAAAAAAAAAAAAACACACAAAAATTATTAAGGCCACCGTATATAAAAAAAAAAAAAAAAAAAAAAAAAAAAAAAAAACGATATGAGTCATTAAACATACTTTACTAAACATGCTTTACTTTAAGTGCAGTTTCGCGCGCCATTCAAAGGAGCCTACTTAACATTTCTCTTACCAGCGTTTAATGTTATTTTGTGATCATAGTTAAAAACCACCAAAAAAAAGAAAACAACGCAAAACAAAACAAAACAAACAAAAAAAATAGCAAAGCAGTATATTGGAGTATACCATTGGAAATGTAGTTTTTACCGCCCAATAGCCTTTCCTGCACCTCAGACGCTCTTAACCTTCACAAATGGTTTGGACGAGTGCGTGGGCCGACTGCAACGCAGGCTACCTAGTAATAGCATTGACACCTACACACTAACGCATCTCTGCAATAAATTGAACATCTGCACATCGCACTCGTATCATCTTAGGCTGTTATTCTTCAAGGCCCGAATCTTGGCCTCAAATGCTTTGAATTTGTTACATAGAAATAGACGAAAAATCCGAGTGACGGCAATATTTGCCCGAACAGGTTATAGAACGAGGCGGACTTAATATTTTCATTTTCACCCTACCTCTGTCCCAACTCGGCAGCAGCAGTAATGTCTTACATGGGGCAAAATGTTGATTTAGCGGAGGGGCAAGTAATTAGTTATCTAAAATCTTATACTGCTCCGTTTTAGGAACCTCGGCGTGCGCACCGGTATAGTTTAAAAGGCATTTTTCTCACAAAGAACTAGCGTTGGTCTCTAGTGTCGTCTACATCCCACTCACAGCCACTTATTGCATCGCATTGTTCTATTTCATATAAAAAGCATGCCAGATTCGTACTGAAAGAAACGCAAATCCCAAATCCTGAATCGTATTTTATATTGGATTTTATGAATGCATTGCGTTTGTCAGGAGCCAATACTCCTGTTTTTGTGGATTACGTCAACTTAAATTCTTAATTTGGATTTTTTTTTAATGAACACAAAGTTCGTATTTGGTTTCAAAATATTTAGGATTTTCCCAAAAACGTACCCTACGTTACAAAATAAATTTTAAGTTTTATATCAAAGCATTCTATCGTTAATTTTGTATTTAATTTACATCTTCTAGAGGTTTTTGTCCATCGTCAGTGTCGAACACAGGATTCCCAACCCCTTTAGGCATACTTTCCAGTTCGTCTCTCCTTCTTCTATACATCAAAAGAATCAAAAGCATTGAGTTAGCAACAGTGTAAATATGCATCCCACATCTTCGAAAAAAAAATGAATGACAAGAAAAACGAACAAAGAAAACAAAACAAAAGTCCAAGTTCAAAAAAACTGAATTAGAGCGTTTCGCTTTATGCTATTTGATACGGCGATCGATCAAAACAACAAGACAACAAACAAAATCTCTACTAAGCATCTCCACGGTCACGATTGTTTAGATCTAAATTACAATTTAACGAAACAAAAGAGGTCGTGAAATTAAAATTCGTGAAATCGTCCGAGGATGCGTCCAGGAAAATTTAATGAAGTTACAATGAAACGAAGTGCCAACCGTTTCGAGGTAGGAGGATATTGAAACATCAAAATTAGGAGGCCACAGGTTAAAGTAAGGAAGTGCAGCTTCACATCTGTTACTAAGGGTCTCTTTAATAAGAGGTGGGGCACCCCAGTACGGTGGGATAACCCGCTTGTCAATACAATTTCTCATTTTAATTTGATCACGTTTATATGATAGACCAGAGCGACCTGTAAAGGCGGGTTACCCCATTTGCCCGACCGGGTAACTTTCTCAGCCCGCGGGTTAAATAGCTTTAAGGAGAGGTAACCCGCATAGTCGGGATAAGATTCCTTTTTTGAAAGCTAATGTTGTGAGCTGGGACTGGAGTTATAGACTTACTTTTTCCTCGCCATAATAAAGTAGGCCAGCACAAGAGCAACAATGATCATTACAATCCCTGCAGCTACGCCGGTGCCAATGTACACTGCAAGAAAATAATCATAACCAACGGTTTTAGGCGGTTTTTTTCAGTAATGAAAAACAATTCAATGAGATGTTTTCAATTTCTTTTATTTGATTCAAGTAATGCCCATTCTCTAATAATTTTTATGTACTACTATTGCGACTGATGTCAAGTAGCAAGAAATCGTAATTTAGTTCAACCTTCCACTTCGACAGTTTCAATAAAAAATGAATAAAATAGTCGAACCTCTTGTTCTTGGGTATCTGGGCACTGGGAGGTCCAGCACCCAGCTAAAAGAGTAACTTCTTGCCGTACGTGTGTTGTGATCTCATTCGTTCATAAGCACTTCAAGCTTATCCAGCAAGGACAACCACATGGTGATAGAGATAGATCATAACACCGCGCTCTAAGTTGCCTACTCTTTACGAACTGTGTGTGGTTTCATTAGCGCCAAGAAGATTTTAAATGAGCAAAGGTTTGTGGAAAGGGACCTACAGTTTATCATCCTTATTCAAGAAGTCTAGAAAGTCTAACTGTTTCCATATTCTACTACAAAAAAAGGTTTTTCCCCAATTTTATAAAGAACCTGGGTGTTGTTAAAGCCAGGGCTTCACTCCGCCGCCTCCCTCTCGACAGAACGGTGCTCATTCAGTTGGCCTAATTGGGCGGCGGTTAACCGACCACGACCACTCTCTGGGGCGGCCATTTAAGATTTTCCTCCGTATTTCTCGCTCCAAAGCGACTACTTGAGATCTATCGATAACAACGGCCCAACACCCAGACGACGTAACAAATTTTGTCCTCTCCTTACTACGATGTAAGCTCGCTGTGTGTAATAGATAACTAACTCCAAGATCAGAGTCTTTTAGAGAAATAAAGTAAGACTTTTTTAAGCTACAAACGGGAGGTTTATATGTGATAGCTGTTAATTAACGCGATTTCAACGGCGTTTCTCTGACCATGTTATCACTAGCAGAATAACAGTGGTTCTTACTTGTGTTTTTCTGTCCCCCTCTTTGAGCAGCCACAGTTGCTTCAGGTACTAATTCTGTGGAAACCAATAAATGATAGTTCTTTGATATGGGAAATTCTATGGGACTGATCTACAAAATGAATGTGTATTGTTGGGGTGCTGGAGAGGTGGAGAGAAGAGAAAACTAAAACAGGGGTTTATTGGCTTCTCTTGGTAACTTGTTTTTACACGTTCTTCCTGAAACTTATGAAGAAACCAGCTTCAATGTATCATGAGCTATGTTACATTTCAATAATAATAATAATAATAATAATAATAATAATAATAATAATAATAATAATAGTACGGCTGGGAAACAACAGACACGCCCTTGATCTGCGCATGCGGTGTTCAATTTAGCGTGGATCACGCAATGGTGTGTCAGCGCGGCGGATTCACTATCCAGCGCCATAACAAACTACGCGACTTGGAAGCAGAGATGCTAAGGAAGGTCTGTAATGATGTGGAAGTAGAGCCGGTCCTTCAGGAGGTCACTGGGGAGACATTAAATCATGGCGCTAACAAGCCCGTGATGCCCGTTTGGGTATTCATGTCGAGGTTTTTGGGAGAGACAGAGATCTGCATTCTTCGACGTTCGGGTGTGTCACCCTAATGCAGACTCTTACATAGACTTGACTCCTACGGAATCTGCAAGAAGCATGAGAATGAGAAGAAGAGGCAGTATGCGGAAAGAGTAATGGAGATCGAACAGGGAACGTTTACTCCCCTAGTTTTCAGGACCACAGGTGGAATGGCGGATGAGTGTGTTAACTACCACAGCGGACTTGCGGAGCTGATCGCAAATAAGAAGGGAGAAAGTTACTCAAGCGCAATTTCCTGGATAAGAGCTAAAGTATCTTTCACCATCGTACGCTCTGCGATACTATGCTTGAGAGGCTCAAGATCCAGAAGACGACAGCTAGACTTTATCGACTCGGATCTACAGATCGAAATTATTAGAGCCTGCCGAATTAACTAATTGATTATTATTATATTATTATTATTATTATTTATTTATTTACTTATTTTTGTGAGAACTTTTTTTTAACGAATTAGGAATTTAGGAATAATACGATATTTTATTCTTTTTAACTTGTTTCCTTTAAATATCAGAGACGGATGATTATCTTTTGTAAGGACTTAATTTAACACTCTGGACCGCCTGTAAGAGTTTCTGATCGCATCTAAGCCGCAAGGAATGTATTTGGGAAATCGTTATTGACACAGTGTATTTTTTATGGTTTATATAATTCTTAATGTTATATAGTGCTTAATTCTTACTTCAAATATTTCTGTAAATTATATGTACATATTTTTAAAGTTCAATAAAATAATAATAATACGAATTAGTATGTGTAGTCAAATGGTGACGAGTGAAATTAGGGAATAATTTCACGCGTGTTTTGTCCAAATCCTAATAATGTCCCTCGCCTTTAAAGGCTCGGGAAATTATTAGGATTTAGACAAAACGCAAGTGAAATTATTCCCTAATTTCACTCGTCACCATTTGACACATGTGAAATTACAAATTAACGCTGAAATTTCGCGCCAAAATTAAGGAGTAATTCATCACCTATGATATTATATTAATAATTATTATTAAAAATTAATAAAAAATTTTATTCAACTTTGAAAATATGTACATAATGTAGAGAAACATTTTGGGGAAAGAAAGAATTTAAACGCATTATTCATTAAAACATTCCCTGCGGCTTAGATGCGATCAATAACTCTTGTAGGCAGTCCAGTGTTCTAAATTAAGTCATGACAAAAGAAAACTATCTGTCTCTGTTATGAAAAAGAAACAAGCTGAAAAGAATAAAATCTCGTGTTAAGATTAATTCGGGCGAGCTCTAATGTTTTCGATCTGTAAATCTGAGTCTGAGTCATTAGCAATAATAATAATAATAACAATAATAATGTTATGTGAAGTACATGAGCTGTCCAACAATCTAGCGGGAAAATAATGAAGTGGATACAGATACCTTGGGATTCTAGCCCTAGATAAAATGAAGGACGAAGAAATGAAACGACACCTCAAGAAGGAATATAAGAGACGCGTCAAGCTGATTCTGAGCTCAAAACTTCACGGAAGAAACAAGTTCATGGCAGTCAATACATGGGCGGCTGCCATGCTGCGGTACGGAGCAGGAGTTCTAAAGTGGACAACAGAGGAGTTGGACGGAAAAACTGGGAAGGTGATGGCCATGTATGGTGCACTTCACCGTAAGAGTGATATTAACAGTCTTGACACTGATGCCAAGAGGATAAGATGGGCGGGTTTTGATAAGTTGCTTAAGATGTATCCAGGGCGAGAAGATCAGTGTTGGATGGTAGGTTAGGAACAGCAATGGGGGGCAGTTGCTGAAGACAGTGAAAACATCAGGAGTGGTACATTTGGAAGCAGTAGAAGAAGAAGTGAAATAATGGAGGGAAAAGAAAATGCTTGGACAACGAAACATGGAATTCAACACTGAAGTTCTCGAGTGCCAGGGGCGTAGCCAGGATTTTTCAAAGGGGGGGTCACAGCAGGGACACTATCCGGGGATCGCCGACTATATATGAATTATACCTCTCCTCTCTCTCGTGTATCAGCGGGCTCAGTCGTATTATCGCGGCATGAAGGCCCATATTAACTAAAGACAAGAGCCGTTGACGAAAATACTTTACAAAAAGACAATTTTTAAAAAAGTGGGCTTTTCAACAATGGCTTTTACGGCGAAGATATTGTCATGGCGTTTTCGCCACCTGAATATTGTAGGTTGTTAGCTCAAAAGAAGGCCTACCAAGGGGGGGTCACTGGCCCCCCAGGACCCTCCCTAGCTACGCCCCTGAGTGCGACCCAAGAACTATCTTTGAGGACGAATTATCATGTAGACAAGAGTGTAGAATGTGCCACATAAAGGTGAAAGTGTCCCCCATATCATTAGTGAGTGCAGCAAACTTGCGCAAAAAAGGGATAAGAAGAGACACGACAATATCACCAGAATGATTCATTGGGAATGTGAGGTGTGAATGGTTTAGGCAGGGCAGGCTGGATACTTGGGATAAATAATTATGATAAATCACTACATCTATTCACCCAGGGGTTCTCCCACCCACCACACAGCCCAAGAAGGAAGAAATTTAGCTGCAGATTCCATCATATTCAATTTTTTCCCAATTAACTTATCATCTGTTGTTCAGATAGCAGATGGGAAATACGAGAATACAAACATCTTTTGATGAAGAAGGAAAGCGTTACCAGATATTTATTGAAATGAAAGAGATTGGTCTTAGTCTAGAGAGAGTCGAATTGGTAGTCACTTACCGCAGTCGGCAAGGGGACCTTCTTCGTCCGAATAATCTAGACAATTTGGAACACCATCACATACAAGGCTGGCTTCTATGCACTCGCCATTTTTGCATCTAAATTGGTCATGCTCACACTGGGCAGGTTTGACTGTGATGAAAGTTTAAAGAATTATTGTCAAAGTAATATATCATTCAACACCTGAAATATTTTAGGAATTTTTATTGCCTTATGACCAATCACAGCGAAGAACAGAACTAGGCGAAAAACAACTAACTACTGTTCCTTTCTGTCGTTTAGTTTTCCCACGCCTGATTAGCTCTTGTCTTGCAACAAAATAACATTCTGGAAATACTTCTTGTTTCTACAGTTTTATAAGTTTCATGGTAACATAATGTGGAGAACTGAACTATTTCTTTTGCAGGTAGAGTAAACACAGATTTGCTCTGGTCTGTAATCTCTGTCCACCTCAAAGGGTACCGAGAATCAACATAGAAGAGATTTTTTCATCCACAAATTGAAAATTAGAACTACACTTGCAGCCGTACTTCTAGGCACTGGGAAGTGGTCTTCCAAAATTGTTTACGGTAACGTTTTTCTCCTCGATGTTCGTGAAGTTTAAGCGAAATCTTTAAGAGCTTTATCGAGTCATATTAATTTCGGGTGCAGTTTTTATGGTTAAAAACACGATAAAAACTAGACAATATTGATATTCGGTCGTCATATGTGAAAAACGACGGGCTTTGAAATGCAATTTCAACTCATGCTAGTTTCAGTATTTTTTTAACGTGTGTGAAAGGTCATGGGCATAGCTCTAGCCGACTGCTAGAAAAACCCTATCAAGCCACCTTAAAAGATGCAATAATTCACTTTCCTTTGCTGGAAAAAACGTTCGATCAGTTATTGTTACCCGGTGTTAAAAACCCAATCATGGATGCAGAATAATTAACGGGATTTTTGAAGGATAGTAATTCTGAACGAACCAACAAAAACGTTACCACGAAAAGTATTCTACCTCCTCAGGAATTTATATTGCACTACAGCAATAGCAATCGTGCATAAAAAAACCCCTCATAAATTAAAGCTCTTACGTGAGAAAAATTTTTGGCCGTATCATAGTCTTTCACAAAGTAAAATGGTGTGAAGGATGGGAGAAGCCTTTCAAATGAACCACGGAAGTCATTCCGTCCAAATTTACACTTTAACTTAAAAACACGTTCTACAGTTTCCTTCGTAAAAAAAAAAACTTATGATGATGCAGTTCCTCCCTTGAAAGCCAGGTGGGCATGCGCAAGTATAGTTCTTCACATCATCTATGCGTGTTGCATTGTTTACACACGGGTAAGGATCACAGTCATTAGTGTCTGAAATAAACAACAACCATAACGACGAAAACAGAATTTATACGATAAAGACGAATTTCGCTGGTCTATCGAATGTAAATGTATTCCAATCCATCTTCAAAACGTTCCCGTTGACTAATAACTTGAAACGGGCGTTTATTAATGTTGTTTAACAACTTACCGATGGCGCAGGTCTTTCCTTCAAAGCCAGGTAGGCAAACGCAAGTGTAGTTGTTCACTCCGTCAACACAAGTACCGTGGTTTTCACACGGGCTGGGATAACAGTCATCAATATCTGATGAAATACCAAAAAGCAAACACTTTTACGGTGCTCTTTCGAAAGTAAATGAGCTCTATTACTTCTTGAAAACATTTCCATTGGCTGATGAATTAATAAGATGTTTATGAAAATTGTTACAGAGCTTACAGTGTACTATTGGTGCAGTTTTTTATGACTTTTACTGTGCTCTATCGGACGAAAATTTGCTCCGCGGCACCTTAAAAGCTTACCGATGGTACAGTTCTTTCCTTCAAAGCCAGGAACGCAAGCACAAGTGTAGCTATTCACACCGTCAATACATGTTCCTTTGTTTTCACAAGGGCTTGGATAACAATCATTAATATCTAAAAGAAAAAAAAAACAACAAAACGCGCACTTTTCATAAGAAGAAACGTCCATTACTTAAGAAAATTTAGTGTTGTCAAGGATGGAAGAACCTACCGCCAAAAAAACAAACAGAAAAACAAAAAACAAACATTCTAAAGATTAAATAAATAAATAAATAACGATTTGCAGGTAGCACATCCACATAGTGGTTCTTCGTCTACCTGATTCCTGGTCGAATTGGAATTTGGAAATGTTGGCTTTTGAGGAGAGGGGAAAACCGGAGTACCCGGAGAAAAACCTCTCGGAGCAAATGAAAGAACCAACAACAAACTTGACCCACAAAGATTTCTTCATAAAAACTGACATAAAAGAAAAACAGAACTCACTGATGGTGCAGTTCCTCCCTTCAAAGCCAGGAGAGCATGCGCAAGTATAGTTATTTACACCATCTATGCATGTTGCATTGTTTACACAGGGGTAAGGATCACAGTCATCAGTGTCCGAAAAAATGCAAGAAAAACAGACTTAACATAATAAACATAATTTTTACTGGTCCAGCGGACGTAAATGTCCTCCATTTCAGCTTTAACCTGTTCAAAGCGATTCGGTTGGCTAATGAGTTGAAGCTGTGTTTATTAAAGCTATAAAGAACTTACTGATGGTGCAGTTCTTTCCTTCAAATCCAGGTACGCAAGCGCAAGTGTAGTTGTTCACACCGTCAATACATGTTCCATTGTTTTTACACGGGCTGGGATAGCATTCATTAATATCTGACAGGAAGCCAAGAGGCTCAATATTAACAATACGTTTAAAAAGTGATTCCATCGGCTAATGAATAATTTACTTTTTTATGTTCGTATTTTTTCAAAAAAAGAAAAATATGTCCATTGAAACGTTTACATGGAGAAATTGCCCTTTTTTAAATAAGAAAGTGAAATATGAAGGGTGGAAAATCTATTTGGGTATCACAGCGTACACTTACTGATGTTGCAATTCCTCCCTTCAAAGCCAGAATGACATGCGCAGGTATAGTTATTCACACCATCTATGCATGTTCCATTGTTTAGACACGAATAAGGATCACAGTCATCAGTGTCTGACAAAAAGCAACAAAAATAGACTTAACTCGACAATTGTTAATGACGTTGCGGACAAACTTATTGTTCATAATAGCACCTTGAAAAAGTTTCCATTGACTGATAATTTATAAATAATCATGTTGATTAAGGTAGTTTTAAAACTCACTGATGTTGCAGTTTTTCCCTTCAAAGCCAGTTACGCAGGCACAAGTGTAGTTGTTCACTCCGTCAATACATATTCCATTGTTTTCACACG